CAACGGATCTATATGATCGGATACGCATGGCGTATCGGGACGATGAGGCTGTCGCGCCTATCGTCAAGTTCCTTAAGGCCGGAACGAGCGCGAAGTCCGACTGGCTCTCGTCGCGACAGCGCTCACGGCTCCACCGATATGAGTTGAAGGAGGGCCTCCTCTATTATCGGGTGGAGCCCACTGATCCTCCACGGGTGGTCGTACCCAACGACGAGGATCTGAAGTTCGACCTCCTCGCGGAGGCGCATGACGCGCCCTCCAGCGGCCACTTGGGCCGCGAGAAGACCTTTCTGTCGGTCTCTCAGTCCTTCTGGTGGACCCACATGTACAAGTGGGTCGCCCGATACGTCAAGACATGCGAAACATGTCAGCGGGTCAAACCCGCAGGGCACTCTTCGGCTCCACTACAGAGCCTGCCCGTACCGGCTGATTGTTGGAAGTCGATGAGTCTTGACTTCATCTTTGGGATTCCCGCCGACGGACACGGCAACACCGGAATTTTGGTGTTCGTGTGTTGGCTGAGCAAGATGGTACATCTTGCTCCAGTTCCCGTCACTGTTACGGGCGAACAAACCGCAAGGTTGTTCGTCGATGGCGAGTTCCGCTTTCACGGTCTCCCGGAGACGATTGTCTCGGACCGAGACCCGCGGTTCACGGCTGCGTTTTGGAAAACGCTGTTTCCTTTAATGGGAACTCGTCTGCAGATGTCCACTGCGGACCATCCACAGACAGACGGCCAGACAGAGCGCGTCAATCGAGTGCTCGAGGACGCTCTGCGCAGTGTGTGCGCGGCAGCACCACGTACGTGGTCGACGCAGCTTCCGGTTGTTATTTTTGCGCTCAACAACGCGGTGCACGCGTCCACGGGGTTCACGCCGTTCTACTTGAACGGCTTCCGCCACCCCAGAGTGCCTCTCACTCTTCGAGGAGACACTGACTCCTCTATTCTAAGTAGGGGAGAGGCTCGGAAAGCCCTTTCCTCCCAGGCTCGGATGTGAGGTCAGTCTCGCTGCGGAAACAGGTGGAATCCTTTATGGATACCAAGCTGAACATTGTCAGCGGGTCCGCGATGCCATGGCAGCGGCCCAAGATAAACAAAAGGAGTACTCAGACAAACAAGGAAGAGGAAACTTAAGTATATTTGAGGTTGGTGACTTAGTGTTGCTAGACACGAGGAACCTACCTCTAGACACTGTTAGCTCTGTCGGCAGCAACAAACTGAAGCACCGCTTCATCGGACCTTTTGCAGTCCTGGCCAGACATGGTGCGTCGTACACCATCGACCTTTTCCAAAGTCAATGACGACGCACCCGACGTTCTATGTCGGACGTCTTAAAGCGGTACTTTGACCCGCAGGGGGTTGCTGACTCGCAGATCCCCCTTGACCCAGCTCCTCGAAGCGAGGGCCGGTCACAGTCGTCGACGAGGGCGTCGGAGCAGGCACCCAAGTCTCGGTCGGGACGGCAAGGCTGCGGTCAAGACCGTACGCCGGAGGGGCTCCATACGAACGGACCCCGGCGCCATACGCTGAGTACGCTGAGTACGCCGGGTGGCACCACACGCGTACGTCTGGGAGTGTGCCGCAGGCGGCTCCGGATGTGGCAACAAAGCCTCGATCCGTCGGATCATGCGAAAGGCCTCGTCCAGATCGGACAAAGAGGCCCGGCGATCCACCCGCAGGTGCAGGCTCGCGACCTATCGCTCCACCAGGTCCAGGCGGCCCGCAAGACGAGCGAGCTCGCCCTGATTCCCGGCCTAGGCGGCAGCATTACCGCCAGTCCCAAGGCCAAGTGCAATCTCAAGCACGAGGACACGTTGACGGAGGCGGTCAACCTCAGGGTCCTGTGTCGGACCCGCAGTCGGAGCACTCGGACGAGAGTGGCTCTCGGGAGGCGCTGAGTACTCGTACTCGTACGAGAGCACCTCCGCCCCTGCTTGACCGGAATGGAGAGGTCCACTTCCACGTGGAGCGGTTCCTCCAGGAGCAACGGCGTCGCGGTAAGCGACAGCTCCTCGTGAGGTGGAGGGGTTATGCCCACTCCGAGAACTCGTGAGAGCCGATTGAACGGCTCATGATTGACTGCCCGAAGGCTGTCGCAATCTGGGAACAGAAGCGGCGGCAGCTTCATAAGTAGTCCGGGGCTTCTTGCCAGAACGGGGTACGGACGATGAATACATTCCGTACCCGCGCGCATCGTGAGCGCTAGAAGCCGCGCGCTTCAGGATGTCCCTTGGCAGCATGCGCTTGCTGATCAAGTGGGCAAACCTCACACAAGGATCACGCTGGTCCAGGATGCGGGACAGCAGCTGATCGTCATGGAGTTCCCGTAACTCCGAGGGAGCACTTAAGAAACTCCACCCAAGCCCAGAACATGTCCTCACAAGAACGCCAGGTGGGACAGCTCTCGGGCAGAGCCCAGGGGTAATCCCAAAGAGGATAGAGACCACCCCGGTTCTCGGGCTTCTTGCGACAAGTCGTAAAGTCCTTGAGAGGGATGCGGTTTGGCGCGAGAAGTACACACCGAGCCGCCTCCAAATTGTCAACAAACAACTTTTCTTTCTGAACAAGAGTACGCTCGTAAACATCCCTAGAGGTGTGGCCGCCAACTAGGCCACGAGGAGCAACGAGAAGCTCCGGGAAGAGGTCAGCCCCAGAGCTCTCCTCGGGAGGCCAATACCCTCTTGAGCTGATGGCAGCTTTCTGGCTGACGGGTGCCACCACCGAGCCCCCACGCGCACGCTGGACAGCTTGGAATTCCTCTTGCTGCTGGTCGAGGTCATTCGTGATCTCCCGGGGCTCAGGAATAGCACCCTTTTCCTTTTCCTCCCCCTTCACGTCCTCTTCATCCGAGAAATCGATGAGGCCCCGATGGAAGTACCGAGTCTCCTTCTCCTCCCGGAGTGAAGACTTAGAATCCGTCGCTTCTTAGAGGGCTTGGCGCCTTCGGCTTTAGTGGCCTTAGCACGCGCAAGACCCTCGACAAGCGAGAGATGTTTGTGAGGTTTCTCTTCCTCATAGCCACCAGCTTTGGGAGTGCCCTTAGCCTTGACGGCCGGGCTCTCAGAGCGCACAGGCGTCCTGGGTCTGTGATCACCTTGGTCACTCGCGAGCGACTGCACGCTGTCATCCTTGTGCTCGCTGGGCACTGGGCTGTGCCCTCCCGCAGAGCTCACAGGAGCATCGTGCGTGCTCTCGGACTCGGTTTCGTCCTCACTGCCAGAGTCGACCTCACGTTCAGCGAACCGAGGGTTCGAACGATTGTCTGGAGAGACCGAGGGCGACAGGCTGCGGCGCTTGCTTGTTCGCTTGCCCACAGATGCGTCACCCGATGAGCCGATCGCCTCAGAGGCCACCTGAGTAGCCTCTTGAAGTGCGTGAGGCTTAGTGCTCTTGGCTTGCGCCTTTCCGGCAGCAGCCTTGGAGCGTGTCTTTGCACCGCTCTTCGCAGTGCCACGAGGCATGACAAACGGTCGAAGTGCAGACCAAGAAGAGGAGCGCACAAACTGCTGCTCGAGGCTCTAACTGTGAAGTGAGCCTCCGCCGCGCTCGCGCGGCCAAGTCGATGTTTTTCGACTTTGAGAATGAAAGTTTGTGACGAACACTTCTTCATTCTGATTGGTCGGTAAACTGAACCTAAGTGGGGGAATTAACGGGGTACGTAGCCCTAAGTGTACCCCTAGTTACATGAAGTATGACACGTCATACTTCGGGATATTTGGTACGAGGTAAAGGTCGTCCAAAGCCAACCATTGGCTGATGACATTGCTTTTCTATAGGTGACTTCTAGTTTGTATCTATCCCAAGCTTTATCTACCTATAAATATACTCAGTTTACATTCTAACCTAAATTGGTCATTACGCTTCCTTTCGGTAAAAGGGGACCTGTGAACTGCCGTTCACTGAGAGTTTGTATGCTCTCGGAAGCCAACTTCCTCTACCGCAAGATTCTGACACCCTTCGGGTTACTTCGATGCAATATTGCATTTCTGTGTCAAACATTATATTGCAAAGCGTAAAATATTGCAATACTTAACAGCAGCTTTGATCACTATTTCGACAAACTATTGTATGAGAATGAACTACTGCACTGCAGTGGTATTTTCCAGTAAAAACGCCTGCCACTGCATGTTTTCCTATCACAAGTCAGTCTTTACTCGCTAAACGTTTTTGCCGCGACCGTTACCGTCGCCACCAACATGCTCATACCGCCTTTGATTGAACAAAAGCGCAAATCTGCTATAGACTTGGCTTGAGTTTAGCCCCAATAAAATGTGTCCTTAAAATGATAACCAATTCAAATTTTCGTTGTCTCCGTTAGAGCAATAATTGCAGTAATTATTATTTTCCTTAATTAACCCAAAAAAGGACAAAAAAACGAAGGTCAGTTGAAGAAACGCGAAGTCCGCGCCTGCGCTCGTTGGCACCGCGTGGTGCCATTCTTATGGGGCCTGCTTGTCGTTTTGTTCTTGTGTGTTTATTTGTGAGCGTCTTTGGGCCAATCACCTCGCTTACAGCTAATCTTCTACTGTATTTGCGTCCTTAAAGTGGAGGTCCGATCCTAGAATTGTGAAAAATGCTATCCCTCTTAATTTGTTGCTGTGATGTGTGTCAAGATGATTTTGTCCATTTGATTGGCCATTCCGATGATATTTTGTCTGATTCGATAGCACTTTGTGCGCGGCTCGTCATTTTTTGTTCATGTCAATGCTGCTCTCTTGAACACAGTTGCCGTTTTAAACGTCTCCCTGACAATTCTCTACGACTGAAAGGGTCGAGCTCTGATTCGCTAATTTTCTTTTTCATATTCAATTCGGATTGGTCAATAAAAATGTTGTTTTGGTGTTGTTTCGGGGAAATTTTAAGAATTAAACCAGCACCTACTTTAGCAGTTTCACTAAAGGGTCCGTGTAAGGTGTACCCGCATCATACATACATTCTTCAAGAATCGCTGAGTAATTTACTGCAAAAAAAATATTTGATACTTCATTCAAGAATCAACCAAAAAAGTGGCAAATGCTGGGCATCGGCTTCAAGCTGAGTGACACGTCCGCGGCCTCGATACGCAGCTCTCTGGGCGAGTTCCTACGCCGCGAGTATGCGTCCGATGGAGACGCGCAGCAGACAGAGACGCACCAGGCGGCACTGGACCAATTTGGACAGCTTAAGAAGGATGTAGATCTAGTGCGCACGCCGTCGGCCATCTCGCGTCACGTATTGCTGCGCTATTACGCGCAGCTGGAGAAAATGGCACAGCGTTTCCCATGTGACGGCGAATCCGCTGGACGCACCGCACTACAGTTGCAGTTCACATGGAACGACTCGTTCTGTCCGCGCAAGAAGAGTACGCAGACGGGCGTGTCTTTCGAGAAGGCGGCCGTCATGTTTAACGTGGGCGCGCTGGAGAGCCAACTGGGCGTCCAAACGGACCGTAATACGGCCGAGGGGCTTAAGACAGCCTGTCGTCACTTCATGAGGGCCGCGGGGGCCTTCCAAGAGGTCAAAGATAAGCTTGTGGAGCGAACACTAGGTGCCAGGACGCCCGACATGAGCGCCGAAGGGCTGGGACTGCTGACATACTTAATGCTGGCTCAAGCTCAAGCTTGTTTCTACGAGAAAGCTATCAAGGACCAAATGAAGGACGCAATTAAGGCCAAATTGGTCCATCAAGCGCTGGACTATTATGTCTCCGCTTTAGAATTCTGTCGCTCTTCAGCTCTAGCTGGAGCTATTGATAGATCGTGGAGTGTACATCTACAGTTCCAGGTCCACTGTATGCGTGCAGCTACGCAGTATTGGCAGGGAACAGCGTCCAAAGCTGCTGCACTGGACCGAGGAGAAGGATACGGAGAAGAGATCACGCGGCTGGCTGCAGCAGACGCAGAGTGCACGGAAGCGTGCAAGGTAGCGACGCAGAACAAGCTGCCAACGTCACTCCTACAGTCTGCTCAAGCCTTGCAGCGTGTGGTGCGTGAACATCTCGACGCAGCGAGGAAAGACAATGCCAGTGTGTATCTGGAGAATGTACCCAAGTTTTCCGAGTTGCCAGCAGTGGGGAAGGCTGCGATGGTCAAGCCATTGGCCTTTACAAGCGATGAGCTGCAGCAAGAGCTGGGAGGTGTGGATTTATTCGAGCAATTCGTACCTAAGGATTTGTTACTACGTGCTGATGGTGTTAAACAAGAAATCAAGACTATTCTGGAGACAGCAATGAAAAGAGTATCCCAGACGAACGACGCAGCGAAGGAGAAGCTCTACGCTTTGGGTCTTCCTGCGTCCATTGAAGCTTTTGAAAAGACTAGTGATAACGGTATCCCACGTACTATCTGGCAACGTATTCAGTACGTGAAGGTGACGACTGCATCGGCTGCTATGGGAGCTGGAGGTTCGAAGGAAAACCCAGTGGCGGCGTTTCTTCAGCTGCAGCTACAGGAGAACCAAAGGATGTCGGACGATGCCGAGAAGAACCTTCATGCCATCGAGTCTCGCTTAAGTCAAGAGGAAGTTGAAGACAATGTGTGCAGACAGAATTACGGGGAGAACCGATGGACACGACCGGTGTCTTCTACTTTGAACCAGAACTTTCGCGCGGATATTGATCGCTACTATCGTCTAGTGAAAGAGGCGAAGACGTCTGATGGCATTGTTCGAGAGAAGATGAGTGCGAACCACGAGAGTTTGGAGGCTCTATCGCGGTCCAAGTTAAGTTTGGATAAAGAGCTGCCAGAATTGCTACAGGATAACTCCAGCTGCAAGGAAGAGATCGCTCAAGTGTCATCTCTGTTGCTACGACTTGGTCAACTTGTGGAGGAGAAGGACCAAGTGCTGCGTGACTTCAGAGGCTCTTACGACAAGTTCAACGCGCTATCTGTGTTGCTAAGCGGGAATAAAACCAACGGGGTGTCCACAGACGCTGCACTCGAGACTGAGAAGCAGTTCTTCCGCGATCATTTCGAGGGAAAGATCGCTGCTATTTGTGAAGAAGAACAGACGCTGTTGGATGATTTGGTGCAGGCGAACTCCCGCTTTGAGGCCAAGAAGGAGACAGACCATGTGCTACGCGATCGTCAAGTATTCTTGCAACATCTAAGTGACGCAGTTGACGTCTTTGAACAACTGGAGTCGCATGTAAAAGAAGGTGCAAAGTTCTATGCTGAGCTGAGTGTTCGGATCGCCCAGCTTCATCAAACTGTGGCAGACCATTGCTCTGCGCGCGAGCTCGAAAAGCGCGAGTTGGAGATGAATCTGACTGCAGATGAGGAGATGAGACAACGTGAGGCGGAAGACGCTGCGTTGGCGCAGAAAATGATGAACGACATGCAGATTCGGAATGCTGCAACTGGTCCCAATGCGAGCGATGAAGCACTAGCTCGTCAGCTAGCTGGCAGTACCTCGCAGGTCTATCAATCGGCTAGTTCGCAACAGTCAGCGCCTCCTTCGTACGACTACGCTCGGCTACAGACTCAACAAGAACATCCGTATGCACAATACCAACACACCCAAGGACCTACACAACCCCCTTCGTATGGGAACGTCTCGACGTCGTCTGCGCCACCTGCGCCTTACGCAAGTAACCACAGTCAACAACAGCAAGCGTACAACTACTACCAATACCCTGGTCAACAGTATAATCCGCTCTTCCCTACTGGAGACTCGGTGTAGCTGAAGGAATAATGAATGGGGTGTTTGATGTCGTCTAACATCGATATGGATTGTATACGAAATTTAAGAAGACTTTAAAGGTATTTTATCGCCTACTACGCTGGGAAATCTTCGAGATTCTCCGACTCATGTTCCCAAATTACTACGACGTCTATTGCATCAGGGAACGAGAACTGCAGGTCTTGGAAATACCACGACACCGACGCCCAGGGTACAAGCTGCTTAGCACCTTGGAGTACTGCAGCGCTACAAGCGTCAGCTCCGGAAATATCATCACCATCGAGAAAGAAAACTTCGAACTTGGTCGTCGGACCTTGACGGTACGTGAGACGTTGATGCTGCACGCAGAAGAGTTTCATCACATTGTTCGGGGTCGCTTGGACATCCAGCTCCTCTTCAAGACGAGCTTGTAACTTGTCAATACGTTCTTGTAATGACACGTCGATAGAAACCACACGAACTTCTTCTTCCAAGCTCACTAAACACTGCAGACGTACCATCTTTGATTATGAAGACTATCCCTTCCCATGAAGAATGATTGAAAGGGACTGACATTGGATTTTGACAAATAAAAAGCAAACAACTAAAGGCGAGTACCTAGCAGTAGTCGTCCCGATACATCCACGAATTACGACGCCATGCATGTGGCATCGACCCAAGCAATGGCTTTCTTCAAGTAATCCGCTGAATCGTCCGCTTTGCCGTCCTTGTTGTATCCGTAGCGCTCGGCAGCCTCTTCGATGCAGTCCACCAGCTTCTTCTCCAGTGTTTCCGTCTCCTGGGCTCTCAGATTCGCCACTGCTGCTTGACCCATGAGCTCGGCGCTCTGCTGAGTGTAGTGATTCTTGATCTCATAGTAGAAGTCGAGCTTCGTCATGAATTGACGCTTCACGTCCGTGTCATCGACCAGAGGAGCCACGTCGTCAGACTTGAGGACGTCGTCGGTGAGTGGAGGTGACGGGTTCGCATCAGCGATCACGTCGGTCGCTCCCGCAGCGCAATGGTCGTACATCCACTGCACCAAGACATGATACTCGTCTTCCGTCACTGCGTCCTTCGCCAGGGTCTGCAGACCTGCACTCGCGCATTGGTATGTGCGTTTGTAGCGATACATCGTGACTTGGTGCTGCATGTCAGCACGGTCCTTTAGGGTCTGCAAGTACATGAAGATCTCCGACGCAGAGATGGCAGACGAGTTGTCCAAGTTGACAAGATCGATCGTGTTGTTAGACGGTGCTAGCAGGTTCCAGTCGCCGTCTCCGTACGTAGCAAGCGGCATGTCTGCCTTCGGAACCACGGGGACATCGGGAGGTGACACGTTGGCGTCCTCTTGATCCGGTAACAACTCGTTCTCGTTCGGATTGGTACCCGTATCAACACCATTAGCTGGACTAAAGTCTCCAGCAGGAGTCTGTTCCCAAGTATTCGAGCCTGTCATCTCTCCAGGAGTGACATGATCCGGGTTAAGTGATTCAGGCTGGTCGATTTGAATTGGTCCAGGTGGCAGAATGTATTCGTCGCCATCAAAGTTCCACGGCCCTTGCTCGATTTGAAACGGTGGAGGGTCCATAGGCCCAATACCTAGCATCGCTCCACGAGACACGATCTCAAATTGCTGGTTCGGATTGTCAATGTTGCAGTACCAGAGGAAGAAGTTCGCCTGACCGGCTCCGTCGTCGAAGCACAAGTCGGGCTTTGCTGGACGATGCAGCATCAGAGCATCAGGGTCGAACGTGAACCATTGGTTCTCGTTACCTGCGTCACACTTCCAGAGGTGAGCCGAAGTCTCGGCGGCAGACCAACCACCACCATCATCAAGACACATTCCGGGCTTACTGACGCTTCGGAACTCGCGAGTGTAGATGTCATAGGAGAAGAGTTGGTTCATGCTATGTGGATCGCACGGTCGGTAAACGAACTTGGTCTCGCCGCTTGACCAGCCTCCGCCATCGTCCAGACACAAGTTGTCCTTCCCGTGCGAACGAATCAACACTTGTTGACCAGATTTGAGTAGATCCAGATACTTGGTACCAATCCGGTCAGGGTTCGTAACGCCTGGAATTTGAATCGAGGCAGGAGAGATAACTTCAAAGTGTTGGTTCGGGTTGTTAACGTCGCACGTCCACAGCCAGAATTTGGTCTCCGCTGGCGTTCTACCGCCTCCGTCGTCAAAGCATAAGTTGTCCTTGACAGGGTTTCGGAGCATCATGTTGTCGTCATCCAGAATGAACCACTGGTTTTGGTTATTCCGGTCGCAATCCCACAGCTGAGCTGTGGTTTGAGCTGCCATCCAACCACCGCCGTCGTCCATACACAAACCGGGTTTGTTAACGCTCTTAAATTGGTGCGTTGAGGAATCGTACGTGAAGATCTGGTTCGGACTTCTCGGATCGCATGGTTGGTTGATAAACTTGGTCTCTCGACTGGAGTGGCCTCCACCATCGTCAACACAAAGATTGTCCTTGCCACGAATACGAAGCATAAGGTTCTTGCCAGAGTAGAGCAGATCGACGTCGTCATCAAGTCCGGCATCGATCAGCTTCTTCCTCTTCTCCGCGATCATTGCAGCACGAGGTATAACCTCAAAGTGTTGGTTCGGATTGTCATCACTACAGAACCACATGACGAATCGAGTCTGGCCCGGTGCCATACCACCGCCGTCGTCGAAGCACAAGTTCTCCTTCACCGGGTTGTGAAGCATCAGCGTGTCTTCATCCATGATAAACCATTGATTTTGGTTATTCGGATCACATTCCCAAAGCTGAGCTTGAGATCCGGCTGCATGCCAGGCACCGCCGTCATCCATACACATACCAGGCTTGTAGACGCTCTTAAACTGGTGCGTCATAGCGTTGTAGGTGAAGATCTGATTCGGACTATTCGGGTTGCAAGCCTGGTCAACGAATTTGGTCTCGCCGTTCGAGTGACCGCCACCGTCGTCCACACATAGATTGGCCTTCCCACGAACTCGCAGCATGATCTCCTGTCCCGTGGCGAGGATGTCGACTGCCGACGTTCCAGCAGCGATCTGCTCTTTCTTCCTCTCCGCCATCATTCGGTCAAGTGATACAACCTCCAAATGCTGGTTGGGACTGTTATTATCGCATGTCCACAAAATGTATCTCGATGCGCCAGCAGTCATACCGCCACCGTCATCGAAGCACAAGTTTCTCTTGGCAGGATTGCGCAGCGTCATGGAGTTATCATCCCACACAAACCACTGATTCTGGTTATTCGGATCACAATCCCACAAGTGCGCTTGGGTTTCCGCAGGGTTCCAACCGCCACCGTCGTCCATGCACAAACCCGGTTTGTTGGCACTGCGGAACTGACGAGTGAAGCTATCGTAGGTGAACACCTGGTTGGGACTCTTCGGATTGCATTTCTGGTTGACGAACTTCGTGGCGCCGTTCCATCGGCCACCTCCGTCGTCAACACACAGGTTGTTGTCCTTATCCCGAACACGCAGCATGATCGGCTGGGCAGACTCGAGAAGATCCATTTCGTCGTCGAGTCCAGCGGCGACCAACCTTTGCTTCCTCTGTTCGGCCATTTTGGCATGTGACAGGATCTCGAAGTGCTGATTAGGATTGTTATCATCACAGAAATACAGAATGTACTTGGTCTCCCCGGGTTTTGTGGCTCCTCCATCATCAAAGCACAGGTTGCCCTTTACCGGATTACGCAGCATCATAGTGTCTTCGTCGTATATGAACCATTGATTCTGGTTGTTTTGGTCACAATCCCATAGATGAGCTTCCGAGCCGGCAGCATTCCAAGCTCCACCGTCGTCAATACAGAAACCAGGTTTGCTCACACTTCTGAATTGGCGTGTCTTGGCGTCGTAAGTGAAGACCTGGTGTAGACTGCTGGGGTCACATGGTTGATCATTGAACTTTGTCGCGCCGTTCCAGCGACCGCCACCATCATCTACGCATAAGTTGTCCTTACCGCGGACACGGAGCATGACCTTCTGTCCCGAGTTAAGGAGGTCTAGCTCATCATCCATGCCAGCTGCAATCCTCTTCTTCCTGATCTCTTCAGCCATCGTAGCTCGAGGAACGACCTCAAAGTGCTGGTTCGGACTGTCGTTATTGCACCACGACATGATGAATCTGGTAGCTCCTGCCGTCGTACCGCCGCCATCGTCGAAGCACAAGTTGGACTTCATGGGGTTGTGTAGCATCAAAGTCTCATCATCCAGTATAAACCACTGGTTCTGGTTGTTTGGATCGCAGTACCATAAATGCGCCGTGCTTCCTGCGGCGTCCCATGAACCTCCGTCGTCAATACAAAAGCCTGGCTTGTTGACATTTTCGAATTCGCGGGTCTTCATGTCGTACCTGAACACTTGATTCGCACTATCAGGGTCACACGGCTGGTCAACGAACTTGGTGTGTGCAGCACCCCAGCCTCCACCGTCGTCAACACACAAGTTGTTCTTCCCACGGATTCGAAGCATCACGTCTTGTCCAGACGCAAGGATGTCGTATGCGGTCATCTCGACTTTCTTCCTCTTCTCCTCGATCATAACTGAACGGGGTAAGATTTCAAAATGCTGATTAGGACTGTTGACATCACAATGCCCCATGATGAATTTCGTGGCAGCAGGACCTCTGCCGCCCCCGTCGTCAAAGCAGAGATAATCTTTCATGGGGTTACGCAGCATAAGCGTAGACTCATCCAGTACGAGCCACTGGTTCTGGTTGTTCGCGTCGCAGTACCACAAATGCGCTGTCGTGCCACCAGCATCCCAGGAACCTCCGTCGTCGATACACAGACCTGGTTTGTTAACATTCTGGAACTCAAGAGTCCGGACGTCGTACTTGAACACTTGGTTCGGACTGTCCGGATTGCACGGCATGTCCACAAACTTGGTTACCGCAGCACCCCAGCCACCGCCATCATCAATACATAGATTCTTCTTGCCCTTGACTCGGAACATGAGCTCCTCTCCAGATAAGAGAACGTCGTATGGAGTAGGTCCAGTCTTCTTCTTCTCCTCGATTAAAGCTTCTCGTAACACGACCTCGAAGTGCTGGTTCGGATTGTTGTTATCGCAGTACCACATAACATACCTCGTAGCACCCGCCGTCTGGCCTCCTCCGTCGTCAAGACATAGATTGTCCTTAAGCGGGTTCTTAAGCATCAACGTGGATTCGTCCATGTCGAACCATTGGTTCTGGTTGTTGATATCGCAGTACCATAAATGAGCTTTAGTACCGGCAGCGTTCCACGATCCTCCATCGTCGATACACAATCCGGGCTTGGAGACACTTTCGAGCTCACCAGTCTTGATATTGTACCTGAACGCTTGGTTCGGACTGTTCGGATTGCACGGCATGTCGACAAACTTGGTCGTAGCGGCAAACCAAGCTCCTCCGTCGTCGACGCACATGTTCTTACCGCGAACACGGAGCATGATCTCCTTTCCAGAGACCATGAGGTCGTACATAGTGGTCCCAACCTTTTTCCTTTTCTCCTCGGCCATAGCAGCACGAGAAACCACTTCAAAGTGTTGGTTCGGATTGTTGTTGTCGCAGTGCCACATGACGTACTTGGTGGAATCGGCAGTGATGCCGCCTCCATCATCAAAGCACAAGTTGTTCTTCACCGGGTGCTTCAGCATCATAGTAAGCGGATCCATGACGAACCACTGGTTCTGGTTGTTCGGGTCGCAGTACCACAAATGAGCTTTGGGGCCTGCAGCGTTCCAGGAACCGCCATCGTCGATACACAATCCGGTCTTGTACACACTGGCGAACTCCTTGGTACCGGAGTTGTACCTGAAGATCTGGTTGGGACTGCTCGGGTTGCACGGTTTGTTGGTGAACTTGGACGTTGCAACTGTCCAGCCACCTCCGTCATCCAAACAGAGGTTGGCTTTGCCACGGACTCGAAGCATGATCTCTTCGCCAGCGTTCAGGAGGTTCACATTGTGTCTCACATCCGATGCGTATTGAGCCTCGAGAAACATTCCGTTCGGTCTGGAAGCTCGCTCTGCCGCAATCCGAGCGCTCTCCGCGTAGTTGCCATATCCTTGATACATGGCAAAGGCACTGCCGACACAAAGTGCCATCCCTGCCGTTGCTAGTATGAGTTTCCTCCATTTCTTGCTGGCTGGTCGAGAAGGTATCGGGATACCTGGACCCCCCTCCTCGACCTTGGGGCGCGAGAGCAACGACATGAATGATCACTACACACTGCAAACTTTATACACGAACACTTGACGGCGTGGCAGCTTGCAGGCAAATTCACAACTGATTGAACGGCTTCCAAGTGTTTAAGTAAGTAAGATCCAAACATCTTTTGGTCACTACTGCGATCTTGAAAGGCAAAAGACTCACACGAGACTCTTCCGGGCGCTTGAGAGCCGCACATAGCAATTGTACGGCGACGGCGGCCTCGACTCGACGGTCGCGATGTTAGACGAGAGAACGAGAGAATCCTAAGCTAACGAGATTCCAACAGGCGCATTGCAATCTTTGACTGGAGAATGAGCGGCCACGATGACCCCGCCGTTTGAACAGTCACTAGTGAAGATCTGAATGGCAATCCATGTAGCAATTCCACCAAAGTATACTTTCACAACATGGTTGCGAATCACAACCACCGAGTCATTTGCTGTCGCGACAGCATGCGGGTTCATCACAAACGTATGTATTGCTTGTCCGGGCTGCATTTTCACAGTACCGTATTCCTTATGTGATTGGCGACAGTCAAATTCTTGAGGTGGTCCAGCCTTTCTGCCAGCATAAAAGATACCTGCATAAAAAAAACTATATAACATGCTAAAATTATATTGGTCGCCAAGCACATAAAGCGCGACGACACGAAATTTAAATCAATTTGATTGGCTGCTGGATTTGTCGCTAATGACCGAGCGTCGCCAATCACATAAGGAATACGGTACTAGTACTTTAGTCCGAACCTACGTACGTAAAAAAGCGTCTACAGAGTCGAAAGTCAGAGTAAACAGGGGCGTCCTTGGGAAATGAAATCTAGTCCGTCTTACCTTGGCTTTGAGAAGTCGAGCTGTCAGGGCCGACGTAGGACCTCTAATTGGCAGCAGGCTATTGCTCCTTAGCATACGCCTTGCGTCGAAGTAGGGACTACCGTACCTCAATACTCGCACGTTGTACGGGGCCTCCTGCAATTTACACGTGCGTACGTACATGAATTTAATCTTGCCGACAGGTTACAATTGTGCGTGTCGACGTAATCCTCCCATCGAGAAGATGTAGGTAATCTTGCCTTCTGTATGTCGACCAGATGAAAACTCGGTAACGTAGCATCGTCCAGATGGCACGGGTGCAGCTATTAGGCAAGCATTCTTACCGGAGTTAAAGCGATAGGCGATGGCGCGGTGAGGCCGTCGTTGCTATCAGTAGAAGTACGGCGCACTTTGCTGGTTGAGGCTGCATTTCGTCATCTACATGTAGTCTGCATCGTTCCGAACCGAAGCGCAAGTATCCAACAGCACTTTAGCTTCTCGGCACGTTGCTTTTTCGGGGCGTATGCTTGCACTCAATAAAGGTCTCCACCGAAGGAAAGCTGCGGTGCGTTTTCTTGTGACGATCAGCGGAATGCCACATGAAGTTGATTCCGGGCACCAACTGCTAGTGCAGCAGCGTTTCTCTCCATACTGCGGCAGCACATGCTCGCTTGCGGTGACCACGACTAAAACTAGATCGTCATCACGCTTGTTCGCGTCGCAGTGGTACGCTGGCTGATACTCCCACGAGCAGACCAGAACTGATCGACTTAAAAGTTTGATCATCGACGGAGTGACGCCGAGCTGCAGCGCCAGTGGCGCAGCGACGTCGGCGATGAGGCTGTGATTGCATTCAGCCTCTGCAATCATTGAAGTGCAATCGACAGCGTTGATGAGCGGCAGTGCTTATTTGAGCATTGTTCGTCTGCTTGACAGTCCGGATGTCCGCTACGTGCGCGTGCATCAGCCGCGACGGACGCTGGACTCGTGGACAGAACATGCCAAACACATGTATTTACTGTTTCAGCACACAGCAAATCATTTGACTTGACTTATGTATACTTTTGACCTTCTGAGTGTCGCAATAAGACATAATCGACGATTAGAGGTCACAGCAGAAAAGGGACCAGCCGCGCTTCCTTGGCGGGCGCCCCTTCGGCGCCCCTGCGGTTCGCTGCGCTCGCAATATGGAGATAGAATGTTCTGGAAAGTGTAGTGCTCGGCTCGCTGGTGAGCTCAGCGCTGGGCCCGCCTCCGCAAATACCGCGCGGCCCTGCTTCGCGGGCTCTCCGCGCGGGTTTGCTGCGGCTACGCGCCTCGCACCGCTCACCTTAGTTGGCGCCGCGGCTATGGCACCCATGTCGCCCAGCCCCGTGTGTGTTATCCCACCGATGGACGTGTGTTTCTCCTATTTTCTCGGACTCGTGCCACCGGCTCTGGCAACGTTTTCTTTCTCGTGGCAGCGCGTGTGTCGACAATACTGTGCTCAGAGCACCGCCTCATTCGAGATGACGCTTCGTAAGTTACGCGTAGCATTGCCGCCATCTGCTAGCTCTATGAGTCAACATAGGATACCGGTACCATTTATTTTGCGAGCATGGCAGTATCACCAGAGGCGCAAGTCGCAAAAAAATTTTTTGCTGAAACCTCGATGACTAAGTAGGTTAGTACTGCATAAAGAGAGGTGGTGGTGGCGCTCCGAGCCTTGCGGCCTGCCATAGAGCGCAAGCCTCGAACTTCCAGCTGAAGTGCTTTCGGCTGGTACCGCATGATATGAACGCTGCAAATCCTGCGCAGCAAAGAAATCGGGAATGGAATCAAGAGATGTCAAGTTCAATTTCGAAGTGACTTGTCTTTCGCGAGAACTCTCGAAAATCGAAGCACCATGGCCTACAGTATCGCCAGCAGCGGACTGGAGTGCATGTATTAAGTGACAATGACGGGCACCATTTGCACCGATCAAGGGGCAGTTGTTGCACAGTACATGTACATGCACGATCGTGTCCACGACGCCGCCGCTCTTGTTCATCTACAGCTTGCATCCACCACATGCTGACGTTCAATATTACAGTCAGCTGGTGGCACAGCACTGCTCAGCTTTGCAATGGCGACAGGGGCTTGCCTTCGCCCAGACAGGACACTGAGGCCTTTCTAAAAGCATCAGGCATCAATACCGTGTGTGTGAATGAGTCAAGCGTGCTCCAGCCGGCTCGTTCGCTTCATGACCGTCAACGCAGATGGTGGCGCAACCTGCTGCTAAAGCTTTGAGATCTGAATAGGGGTCCTGTCCATCCTTTCACAACCACCTCTACTCAGAGTAGTACTCTGCTCTGATTTTCTCCGCGGTCACAATCGAACTCGCCAACGCTGCCACAGGCGCAACTCCGCTCTGTACTCTCTTCTACAATCTATCTTGCGGTAAACATCTCTATGCTTCGCGGTGTCATGCACCACCGCGCGCAGTTCCCTCTAGAGCTGTGCCACCCGCCAGTTTACGAGCCCACCAAGCTAATCCTGGGCTTCCCCATGACTGAATCGGACACCACCAGTGTGGCCTCCACAACGCCCAGCGAGGGCTCCACAGTCTCCACGCCCGTGTTGCACGAGCGCATGAGCCTGAGCTTCATCACGAATCCGGATCCGGTGGTCGACACGCAGCACACGCCCACCCACCCGCTGGCGGGCGCTACTATTTGCTCCAAGAAGAACTGCTACCGCACAGCCAACAGCCTCTTCGGTGCCTTCTGCGAGTTTCACAAGCCAAGTCGGCTCTGCAAGGTACCTGAGTGCCGGAAGTGCGCCAAAACCGGCGGCTTCTGCATCTCGCACGGTGGTGGCCGTCGATGCCGTAACGAAGGTTGCGTCAAGAGCGCGAAAGAGGGAGGGTACTGTATCGCCCACGGAGGCGGTAAGCGATGCCGTGAAGAGAATTGTTCCAAGTCGGCACTGGCCGGCGGTCTCTGCTCTGCGCACGGCGGAGGTAAACGCTGCAGCGCTGCCAACTGCTCCAAGACGGCGCTCAAGGGTGGTCTGTGCATCGCTCACGGCGGTGGCCGGCGATGCGAGATCTCCGGGTGCTCCAAAAGCGCCGTGGGTGGACATCTGTGCGTCTCGCACGGCGGCGGTCGCCGCTGCAGAGAAGTAGACTGCAATAGGGGAGCCGTACGCCGAGGTGTGTGCATCCGCCACGGAGCACGGCAAGACTAAACCGCATCCAAAGCTTTAGTTTAGTTAGTTATAAGGTGGTTGTTCCTCCATGTAAATACACCCTCCGACACACAGTAAAGTTGCCGCATTTTAATCCTCTTTCGTGCAGGTGTCGGGGGTATCGAGTTTCGTCACGCCTAAGTGACTCACCAAAGGTCAGATGCCTGGTGGCACATCTATGGAGGTGATACGGTGCGAGTATTCCAGCGACCGTCATTGAATCGCTGTCGGCAATGCTGTTGGCAACAGCCTGTTGCCCGTAAACGCCGCAGCCCAGCTGGCAGTTGAGCTGCTCGGTCATGAGCACTGCCTCTGCTAAGATTAATAGCGCCGCGTGCTATTCTTGCGGTGCCTATAACATGTAAAAGGCTCTGACTCACGCTGGATGAGCATAGGGGACCGCGCTCACAGCTCTTAATTAAAGTACTTCTCCCTTCTTATCGAGATCGCCAAGCGGGCTTTGCGATTGCAGGGAATGAGTCAAGGGTCTCTGCGGCATGCGGTGCCCGTAAACGGAAAAAAGGTGCACGCAAAAAAATCGCCCTGAAATTCTCTTTAGGCGCCGATGAATCCAGTGGCTCCAATATTTCCACGCGAAGAGAAAGCGGCGAAGAGGAAGCTGAAGGTGCTGCTGGCCCGGCATTCGATTTGGGAAGGTCAACGCAACCAGCCAGCACTTCGCATATTGGCGCAGGATAAGGGCTCCCTCTTCCTATCCTCGAGATGACGGTCATGCACGGCTGCCACCTTACGACCACAAAAAAGCCAGCTTGAAGTTTGTCACTAAAGTGGAATTATCAGATAAAGAAATAGTGACTCTTTCTCAAGATTCTTAGACTAGAGCGAGGATGGCGAGCGCCGCGATGGTCGTGTACTGCTTCGACACGCTACAGTCGCATTTCGATGGTGGCACCGAGCCCACGCCGCGCTTCGATGTGCACGAGGAATAGTAAGCTCTCAGACTGCCAAGGCATACCTAAGCTAAAGTATCAATTTGTATATTGTAAATGATCTTTTGTGCTTCTAGTCCACTGTTCGTGACGTGGGAGATCGACGAACACGGCGGGACTCGCCTGCGTGGCTGTATCGGGACGTTAGCACCCACGCGGCTTCGCAATCTTCGCGACTTCACCTTCAAAAGCGCGCTGCGTGATCACCGCTTCGACCCCATCGGACCGCAGGAGCTGCATCGCCTGCACTGCTCCGTGTCGCTGCTCATCGACTACGAGGACGCCGAAAGTTACGACGACTGGGAGGTCGACGCTTTTGCTTTATAACTACAAGTTTGTATTGGATCAGGGTCTAACGAGCTGCTGCGTATAGATCGGTACGCACGGGATCATTATCGACTTCAGTGACTCGAACGGCAACGAGTACAGCGCCACGTACTTGCCTCAAGTAGCCCGGGAACAGGGATGGACACACGTCGAGACAGTCACGTCGCTCATGCGAAAGGCGGGATACCGTCGCAGTGTCTCCGAAAGTATGCTGCAGACCGTCAAAGTCACGCGGTACCGCAGCTCCATCCACAAGCTCACGTACCAGGAATATCTCTCCGTCAGACAAGAGGTATCGGACAGTACGTGAGCCCTTCGCTGGCATTCACATTCTCTCTGTCAAGGCCTATACTTGCCGCGCATTTCAAGTTGAAGTTGGTAGTCTGGAGCATCATTAAAGCTTTATTTGGTTGCTCGACATCTCGATTTCTGTTCATCTAGACGTGCATCCCCACTTGGAATGGGAAAGCACGCTATAAGAGCGCCCCAACAGACAAATCTCACTGCACGTTGAAGGGTCTAGGTTTCAGTGTCAGCGTTTTGCTGAGCTAGACGGTCCCTAAAGTCCTCGTGAACCTGCTTGATAAAGAGGTTCTTCTCGCCCAGAAGTGGGTCGTAGCTGGAGTCGTCTTCGCTACCGACGTAGTTGTCCTCTTCACCCCCGTCATCTTCAAGCTTCATTCCAGTTTTCCCTAATCCTTCAGCATCTCCTTTCTCATGACGAGTTGAAGTCGTCGTATGGTGCCGCTTACTCTTTGCTGAAGCCGTGTATTGACCAGCAAGACGTGAGTAAACATCGCCAACTGGGGCTGGCGGGGGCATCGTAGTGAAGCCGTCGCTACCAGGACCCATCAGCTCATTGTCATCACTACTGTAGTCGCGCGGACGGTCTGTCGTGACGTACGACATTGGCTGCCGTAAGCCTGAAGAACTCACATACTGCTCCGACTCATTCTCTCGTCTCATGTTGGCAAGCACCTCCAAAACTGAGTTACTCTTGACGGAAGGAGGGTTCTTGAAGCCAGCGGGGGTGCCAACAAACTGCTCGGAAGGAGTACTGGCCAACCGCGACGGTTTGAGCTGTCCCTTGTCCTTTAATCGCCTCGAGCGGTTCCGCTCCGACCGGCTTTGCAGAATCTCACGCTTGGACACACTCTCTCGCACGCGATTCTTGTGAATTCCAGTGAAGTTCGTTGGGTTGGACAGTCGCGAGAAAATCGACTTTGAGGTCGAAGAAGAGTCATCGCTCCCCACATGTGGCGAGTCTTCTTTAGTGGCATCGTATGCTCCCTCGTCGTTGTCGTCCTTCCCACGTCGACCAGAGTTACGACCCTTTTGTGAGCCAAACTCCGAGTTGCCAACAATGTCCAGCTCCATCTTAAACCGACGACGATCTTGTCCTGAGCGAGAGGTTCGGTTGTCGTCGTCATCGCTACGCATAGGGACATCTTCGCAGCCATCGTGGTCATCCTCCTGTTCGTCTGTGCCCATATCTTCATCATCGTCCAGCTCGTTCGCCCAGGAAGCCGGCCCTGACTGCACTTGACTCGAAATGGCGGCGAACTTGCTTCTTGAAGATGATGCTACTGGGACCCGCGTGCGTCCTGGTGTCACGGTAGCACCTACAGCCACAGCACTGAGCTTCTTCAACTTCGTTTCCAGATATCGCACACGTTCTCTGCTTGCAACAAGATCCTGATGTTCCTGTTCCAGCCGGTCTCTAAATAATTGCTTCTCCTCGTCCGTCGCACGAGACATCATCTCCAGCTCCTCGCATCTCTTCCGTAACACGGAATTTCGCTCTTCAGACACAGACAACAAGATGCGGCTACGCTCATCCATCGTCTCGTCTGCAGGCTCCGGATCGTCGGGACTTGCGCCACCGTTCACCACCCGCTGTAACGATTCCTCGTAGCTCTGCTTGATCTGCATCGTTTTCTCTCGTTCTTGCTCCAGGTGACGAACCAGCTCCGTCATTTCCACTTGCTGCTTGGCAAGCTCCTGCTCCTTCCGTTGATCCTGCTTCTTCACATCCACTGCCATACCGAAGAGCATTTTCAGAAGCGTCCGAGCTTCCGGCAGCGACTGCGTCTTCTCGATTTTGGCGAGCGCATTGCCTTCATCCACCGCCTGTACATCGTCCGAGATCTCTGAGATCTTCTCTTCTTTGTACTCCAGTTGGGCTTGACAAGCCTCAATGCGCTCTTCCAAGTCATAAAGCAACTGCTCTTCAGCGGGATTAAGCGTTTGCTGTCGACCGCTATGACGTCGACTGGGTGGAGAACTCTCCATAGGCGACGTTAATACATCACGAATGTTCGTCTGAGACGAAATCGAGTTCTTCACCTCGTTCTCCAGCTTGTCTCGCTGAGCGTAGAGCGCTTCCATCTCCTTCGCCACAGCCTCCCGCTCCTTCTGCAATTGCTCCAGTTTCTGCTGCTCCTCTGCGCGTTTCTTCACTTCTTCCGACAGCCACTTGGCATCACGATCAGCACGAGTCGCAGTGTTCTTCTTACGACCGTGGGAAGCGTTCATTTTCCTCGCTTGAGCAGTCAATTGTTGCTGCTGTTTGAGTCGTTGCTTGGCTGCCGTGACCTCCTCCATCTTCCGTTTAAGTACTCGTTCCTGCGCAAGTTTCTGCGATCCCAATCGCAGAATTTGCTGCTTATCACGCTGCTGACTTCGCTTTAGACTCATAATCTCACGACGTCGTTGCTTGGCCTCCTCTTCGTAGCGCTTGCGCTCTTCTTGCATCTTCTTGACGAGATCCACCTTCTGTCGCTTCATGTTGCTGATCTCCGAGTTCAGAACACGCAGTTGCATCTCGTTCTTCTTCTTCTGCGCCATGAAGCGGTTCATGTCGTTTTGCTTCTTGCGCAAGGCGTCAAGCTCTCCTTCCTTGACCTTCAGGTCTCGCGATAACTTGGCCAGACGTCCGTTCCCACCCGACGTATCTCCTTCCGCAGCAGCCTTCTTCTCGATCTGCTGGATCTCATCAACGAGCTGATCACGCCCCACCTGCGCAGCGCGCACCTCTTCCACCATTTCCGCCATCTTCTGCTCGTAAAAGCTCTTCATCCGGTCGTAGTTTTCTTGAGCTTGACGAATATTCTGCACAAGCTGCTCCTTCAAAGAAATATCGTGAGCCAAGTCCTGTACTGACTCGCCAAGATGACGCTGGCGGCGCTGGAATACACGCATACGATCGGCCTCTTCTTGATTCTCCTCCTCCACCTCCATACCATCAGCAGAGCCTTCACCGTCACCTCCACTGCCTTCACTGTCGCCTCCAGCGTCATCGCCGCTCTCTCCTTCTTTCAACTTGTTCAACAGAGCCGTTTCCCTCTTGATTTCCTTCTCTGCTCGTTCAAGCAGCTCATTTCCAACCTTTGTATCAACCTCAGCCAAAGAAGGTAGCGCGAAAGGAACTGGAGTAGATGGTTGAGCGCCACTTGAGCCACTACTGGTACTAACAGACCCCGGGAAGTTCATCACAGCACTGTCACGGTCTCGTTCAGCTGCTCGAAGCTTTTCTTGCAAGTCACAAATGGTTCGCAGCTGATCTTTGAGCACATTGGACTTGGATTCTCGTTCCTCCGGCGACATCGAGCTCCCATCGCCATTTTCATCGACACATAGTCTCAGATAATCACGTTCTGCTTGTGCTGCGATCATTTCTTCCTTTAAATGGTCAAGTTGCGTCTTACCGCGCTTCAGTTCGGCAGTCAAGCGAGCCACTTCGTTCTCAGCATTCTCAGCACGAGTCCGGAGGTTCCCGAATGAGTCAAAGTCGCTCGACATGCCAATGAGATCCGTCCCCACTGTTGCCATCTTGAGTTCACCTTCTGATAATCCAGGATTGCGCAGACGATGCACTTCCATCTGCAACATTTGCACCTGACGACGCAGCTCCATCGTCAAGGCTGAGGCCTCGTCGCGGTTGACTACAGGCTTGTTCTGGATGTTCCTGGCTCGGTTCGCATACTTAAGAGCATTAAGTGTCTCTTCAAAGTTGACGTCCGCAGGACTCACACACGTAAGCATCAGCGTCCGACTGTTACCCCCCAGAGAGTCTTGTAACATTCGTGTCAGCTTGGAGTCACGGTACGGGACGTGCACTTTGCCGCGCTTCTTGTCGTCTCCTAATGCACTAATTACATTGCCAAGTGCAAGGAGGCCCTTGTTAATGTCGATGCCTTCTTTCAATCGCTTGCCTTCCGCTTGTGTCCGCTTTTGACGCTCGGAACCTGCAAGATCCACAAAGTTAAAGTACGAGCTTCTGGTTTCGTAGTCTCCTTCATCTAAAGGTTTGCCGTCAGCAGGAGGGTCGCCAATAGGGACGTGCTGTACCATGGAGACGGTGAAAATAGCATGGGAGCGACTGGAATGCGCGTTCATGAGCGTACTGCCTGTAGTTCGACAGAGTGTACCTCGCTCCAGTAGCCGCATGCACTCAACTGCGTCTACGACTTCGGCTTCTGAGGCTCCAGTTACCTGAACTTCACCATTCTCACCCTCACGAAGACTCACTTTGCTTTCTCCTGTCGAGTCTCCAAGAGTGACGAGCAGGTCGTGGATCTCCTCTCCATAGATTTCGAGGAAGCGGATACGTAGCTCTGCTTTATAGTTCGCGTTCTCCTGCATTTTGGTGTCGATCTTGTCAAACATGTAGCTGATGACACGCGGGATGATACCGTAATCCTCAGGCGGAATGTGCACTGAGCTGCCGCTTCCCATAGTGAAGGTCTTACCCGAACCTGTCTGGCCGTAGGCGAAGATAGTCGAGTTGTACCCGTCGAACGTGGCGCGGATGAGCGGATCCACGCAGCGCCAAATGTCGCTCTGCTGCGCGTACTTGCCGAACACGTAGTCGTACGTGAAGGCGCGGTTCTTGCCCATAACGATCTGGTTCTCGTCCTCCAGCACGGACACGCATTCATCGCAGCGCTCAACCTTCTCGCGTCCGATAAGCGGACGGATACGCACAGCCACACGCACGGACGCCGCGTCATCTTCAGCCATGGCTGCGGAGCAGGGGGAAGTCACGAAAAGGGCCAGCGCTTTCCTACCAGCAAGTAGAGATTGCAGACACTAAGTTGCACTTCTTATGTTGCACAAATGGTGTTGCTTAAAGGTTGCCCAAACGGCATCTGCAAGAAGATTGCTTCTGAATCAGTACCCGTAGGCCCACATTTAACCCCTCTACTACGACATAACGGATAATCCGGAATCTAATTTATAGAGGTGAAATGCTCCGAGATGCCCGCAACAACATTCAAGGGAAGACAATTCGGCATATTGACATTTGTATGCGATAAATTTAAACGGGTTAAGTGTAAGCTGCACACCCCATGCGACACGGGATTGACAGGAAGAGGTTAGGGTTACGGATTAGGAGTCAAGAAGCTCTCTCAGCCCTCTTTTTGGAAATCAGCGCCGAAGTAGAGACCATCACTCCTGAAGATGTTCATCTTCGAGAAATCGTTCAACCAGATGTGGCGCGAATTGAAGAAGAAATGCTGGCTGTATCGAAAATCCTCTGAGCTCAGCAACGCCCCCCGCTACCCCCCCCCCTCCCCCGGTGGCAACCTCGCGGGATCGGAAGGCGTGGATTACTTTGAAGGTAAGACTACCGATGCGAATGTGCTGTGACGGCAACTAACCGTGTACGCTTGTCAGGGGAGATGAGTCTGCTTCGCTACAGCCGCCGTAAAGGATGATTTGCCTTCGATCCAGCTCCACCAGGACCATCGCCGAGCCTGGGCAACCCGAAAATGCTCCTGGTCCGTCCGAGACCACGTCAGCACTGTCTGAAGAGAATCCTGCGTGGTCTGAAGCAGATTCCGAAGCGGTGCCTGTGCCGTCCGAGCCTGGGTTAGCTGCACCCGTTGCCGCACCGAAGGAAGCTGATGCGAAAAACACTGCGATTGCTTGGCCGAGGGCTGCTGCCAAAGCCACTGCCCCAGCGAGAGAGTCGACTATCTCAAGCGTACCACCTGCACCTGGCAAGGCCAGAGCTTCTAGCAGACCACGATCCGCAAGCAAGGCAACTAGTTCGACACACGTCATTGAAGCGGATCCGCAGCCTCGACCAAAAGGCAAGCGCAGGGCATCGAGTGCAAGAACGTCTACGAAACGGTCCCGTACATGTACGTTTGAGTTTCTGATGCTGACTGCTGCGAAATATATACTACATTTCTTGTTACGGATTGTGCAGCTCCTGGTGCTCAGAAAACGACCTCACATACCATGGATATTATCCGTAACAATCGTACTTCGTACCTGGAGCAGTAGGCGGTGTCTGCACAACACGTCAGGTAAAATTTGGTGCCCCATTTGTTTGGCTTTGCCGGCATGTACTGGCGCATTGGGTTGCGGCGATGACGCATCGGCACCATCCCTTCGTCGAACGAAATCCGTGCACCCATTCGGCATCATCTAAAGAACGTCTTCTGCAACACTTGAGCCACGGATCGAATTTTGAAGGCCCGATCCCCACTGTCGGACTGTCGTTCGTTGTCGTTGAAGTGAAGATACCGCGCAATGTCTTGGAATCGGTTTCGAGTCAAGAACTGGCCAAACGTGCCGCGCGCGAGTGCGCCCTCGACCTTCGTGATCCAGTGCCGACTTAGACTCTCTCGGCGTGGCTCTAGGGCTCGTGTAATAAGCAAACCGATGAACCGAATGATTTCGTGGGACCGGATGGATGGCTTGTGCGCTAATTTTGTCTTGTAATCATCAATGGTCAGCACTAATGTTGAGGGAACGCGTTCGCGCCGCTGACGTGCCCGTGCACGCATTTGCTGCGCAACACTGTCGATGTTGTCCGTATGGTACTTGTTCGTCTCGGCTGCAATCTTTCGCCACAGCTCCTTCGGCAGGAAAACGTAGAATATCGCGATAAGATTCTCCGCGTATGCCAGCGCAGCTCAAACTGGACCAGATGGGCCGTCGTAGAGGGGTAATGCATCGTGTCGCACTTGGTCCGCGTGGTGTTCATCGAACACCCCCCCCACCCCTCTGCTTGAAGTCTGTCAAGATCTGGACCAGTCACGTCAAACTCCACTGGCACTTCGTCACGCTCCGTTGCCACGTCGTCATCGACTTGGTCATCAACAGCAACAGCAACTGCCTCGTCCCCTTCATCGCTTTCGTCTCGTTGATATTGCAAGGGTGAACGCGTTCATCGTCCACAAGATTGCGATGCACAGCCGCGGGAAACCGGTGCCGACCCATGCGGCGACTGCATACCGATCTGCTGAATCAAGCAAATGAGGATTTTGCTGCTGGTGACGACTTAGCAGATCTAGTTACAGAGCCTCTCCCATGTCAATCCCAACACACTCGAGAAGACCGAGAAAACGAACGGCGTGAAGCGCCGTACCGAGATATATCGTCTTGTAGTACTTCCGCATGCGAATCAAGCGCTGGATGGAGTATTGCTGCAGGCGTAGCTGGTCGTGAACGTCTACTCTCCGCATCGCCTCGTGGTAGTCGCGCACAAGCTGGGGGCATGGCACGGCAGAAATGGAGCCATCGCGCTCTCTACGGGAGACTTGAGTGGTGTGTGTTGAGCACCCCTTCGCCAGAAATGTAACACGCTTATTATCCATCCACGTAAGCGCAGCGAACTCACGGCGCCTTTTCCACACAGCCATCTTGCACGTTCCGGGCGGCATACGCTTCTGTGGTCTCTTTTGCCTGAACTCAATGGCCGCACACCAGCCCCTGCGATATTTCCTGATAGGTTTTACGTGGCGATGGCCCATGCTCAGCAGTTTGTCCGATAGCGGGACTGACGTGTAGAAGTTGTCAGTGCAAATGAGGCGTTGTGAAGGACTTTGGTAATGTTCTTGACCACAGATTGCTGCGCGACAGCCTCTTCGTCTTGATTTGCCTGACCGCAATAGATATCCAATCTACCCAGTACAATGCAGGTCGGTTAGCGAGATATTACGGCTCATACAGAATACATCACGGACCAGAAAATTATAATTACGACGGATATCCATCTTAGACGGATCCACAACCTGTTCCGGGTACCCCTGTCGAGGTTGAGGAAACGCCTGAATCGTCTATTACGGCAGAGCCCACTCCGGCAGCAGTTCCAAGCGCGGAGCACGCTGGAATTACTCTGGATAACTTCGATTCAGATAACTTCTTGGATGCACTGCGACGGGACCGGCTGTTTGGGCCAACTGATGCTGATGATATAAACATTGGAGGTGGCGACTGGTTGCTCCCTCTAGATTCCGAAGCGGAAGGTGATGAAGGGTCCAGTGGCTCTGCAAGGTGTGCTCAGCGTACGCTAAGCCCGGCGTGCTGAGCTACGAGACCAGCTACTTCTGTGCTTCGTGCTGAACGGTCAAGAAGGAGAGAATCACCCTGTGTAACAAGGCGCGCAGATTGGAGCACGGCAGCGCTCTAACGTGCAATGAGGTGTGGCATCAGAGCTGGAAGAACGGTATGGCATTCCTTCCAGAGATGCAGCACAAGATCAGGTTTGTTAGGAAGCGTTGGCCCGAAGTTGAGAGCGAGGTCGACGAGGAGTAAGTGAGTGAGCAGTTGTGTGAGTGCTGGCCTTCTAGTGTTGTCGCGTTGTTGCTGTGCGGTGTAGCGATTTTGCAGGGAGATCGCAATTGAAAGTTTAATGGACAAGTTCTGTTCTGCACATCATTCACAGTTAGCCAATCCGATGCCATAATCTGGACACGTGTCACGCGAAACGGCTCACAACAGGGTAAATTGCACTGATTTTCCGGCATTCGTTAACTCATAGATTAGGAATTACAGATACTCCGGAAAATCTTCGGATCAGAAGTGTGGTGTAGTAGAACACACAAATACCGTCAGATGTGGATTCCTTACACAAACCACAACGAATCGCCGAGTTAGGTCGGCGCTTGTATGGCCTGCGCAGAGGGTGGTTCCCTCGCGGTCCGGCCCTTCCGGAACAGACGAGTGGCTCGCTTCCACTCGGTTCCGACTAACCAAGTCAGATCACTTCCGAGGCTCCGCCGAGTTTGGTTCGGCTGAGCTCGTTCACAGCCCTGTGCCCTCCACCAAAGGATGGACGACGGCGCGCGAGCGCTTTTACAGGTCACCGAGCGCAGAGGCTGCTCAGCTAGAAGTGTTACGACACCCGGGCTATCCGACGTACCGGCCCGCTGAGTATGCGGGGCTTTCTTTCGCGCGTAGCGAGACTTTGTCCTACCCGGACCGACCTAATCTTTTGGCGCTACCAGTCAATACCCTACAAGCTATGCCTCTCGAGTATTGACGGCAGGCATAATCCAGCCCTATGCAGGGACTTACCGGAAAAGTGTACACGTGTCTTGGACTAGGAAAATTCTGCTCTCTTATCTTCTGGGAGCCTTTTCGGCTCCCCCTATTTAATCCTATGCTTCTCATACAAATATCTAGTGAAATGTAGTCGTTTCGGATCTCTACCGACCCTTCAGCTGAGTTCGGGCGACCGTTGAGCTCAGCGGCTATCCGGATAGCATATCCGGACAGATCGCCGAGTACTTACCGTGGTCCTTGGCTCCTAGGCTCTGGGTTATCAGACCGAGCCGATTCTTGACCTAAAGTAGGTCGGCGTATGGTCGAATCTGGAAATCCCTACACCACAACTGCCCCGGTTATGATACGAGCCGAGCTGGTGAGTGTCTTAATCCTTCATTTGGTTCTGCCACCGTTGGTCCGTACTCGGCTGATGACGTCTCGCGGCTCTCCACCACCTTCTTCGGTACGTTCGTTGCTTCCGCTGTCACTCACTTGGCAGCTCCTCACTCCTCGCATGCTGCTCCAGCACAACCCGCGGCACCACCTTTCCCCTTCAACCCCTCGTCGAGGTGAGGGCGCGCCAGCTGAGTCGATGTCTCGACCCGTCGGCACTCGTGGGGTCAGCGACCGGCCTGAAGCTGGGTTGGTCGACTTGACAACTTCCCATGAGTACGACGCGGAGTCGGAGGGGTCTTCTCGCGTGCGTCCTCCTGGTCCACCGAGCTTGCCGGGCGACA